CTTGATGGAGATGGGCTATCCGAGTAGTTTCATAAAGAAACATGAAAATATCGGAGAAAGAACCGGAGACTCTGACTGCACGTAAGAAACCTCTATTTATTAAGTTACAATTTAATGGTGACTTATCAAGTGAGATTCTATTCCAAAGACTTTCAAGGAGTATACGAAGAACATTTTATGCAGCACACCTATGTTTGTCATTCTCTAGCCGACGAATGATTGGGACGCAAACAAAGGATAAGCTTGATAGTTTTGCCACATCTATGTGTATTTATCAATTCAACTGCACCTGCGGTGACAGTTATATTGGGCGTACTACTAGACAGCTTAGCCAACGTGTTAGTGAACATCTCCCATCGTGGTTTGGCAAAGGACAGACAAAAACAATCCGTAGCTCAATTTTGTCACACTTAATTGATAGTGGTCATGTAATCGAGAAAACGAGAGCCTTCAAAGTAATTCATCGTATCCCACCGAATCTTTCCAATAGACTTCGTATTCGTCTACTACACACAGCTGAGGCAATAGGCATTCGAACTATTAAACCTAAATTATGTATTCAAAAAAAGTTCGTACAGCCTTTATCTCTCCCTTGGCCTATTAAGACGTAACCAACCAATAACTTCTACACCACCCTTTGTTTGTATTTTCATCCCCTTTCTTATCATCCCTTAATCTTATCTTCATTATAAACGCGTTTCATTTCCTTCCCTTACAATCTAACATTACTCATTCGGTTCATTTGTTTTTACTAGCCTTTATCGACTACTTCCACCTGAACAGTTGTTTGTTTAATCATGCTGTTTTTCATTATTCGTGTTATCACAGATTGCCTCACTTTTTCATCCTTATTATTGATAAGACCATTTCTATTATTACTATAATCATTATTATCATTACTACTATTATGACTAATTACACAATTTATATTCACCATCGTATCATCCTATAGACAAAACACCATGATTGGTTTATATTTGAATTTTATTTGTAAACTTATATATATCAGAGTTAAGCCTGGTGAGATCTAATTGAAAACAATATTGTTCGCTTAAATGTGCTGTTCTAATAACAAACTGTTTTTGAATACACAAGGGGGGCTTAAGTTTATGAATGGCTATAGTCTCAGGGTATTTCAGTAAACGTCCTTGACCGTTTTTATAGATGACCTTAAAGGCTGAGTTAACATCTACCTTATGGTTCATCTCGATTAAATGTTTAGCTATAGACGAAGTTGGTAGTCTGACACCTGCATCTATTGGCTTGTCACAATTCATCTGTTTTTCTAACCACTTTGGGATATGCTCTCCCACCCTCACGTGCAACGCGCGATTACTCCTCCCTATGTATGTATGTCCACACACACACGAAAATTGGTAAATTGTGTGGGATGTGATATAATCACTTGTGCACTTTTGAGGTTTCCAGTGAAGCATATTTTTAGCTTTTTCCACAATTACAAGCTGGGCTGCATAGTAGGTTCTACGGATGATGGAATTCAACCTTTGTCTCAAAATCCTACTATTTATTTCCCCATTATATGGTAATTTGATGAAAACCTTTTTCTTAGGGACGGTATGGATTGTAGGTTTAGAGGCTAGTTGACTTCTACACCTGTTTAAAAATTTCAAAGGATATCCGTTTTCAACAAGAGTATCCATCAATATTTCGTTTTCTTTGTCTATAACATCAGCCGTGCAAATACGCTGAATCCTCTTAAATAGACACTTCACCAAGCCTCTCTTATATTGTAATGGACAGAAGCTGTGAAAATTAAGGTATTGCCCTGTCCAAGTGGGCTTTCTGTAAATAGACCGTCTTATTGAGCCATCGTCTCTTCGACTCAGAAGTATGTCTAAAAATGCGAGCTGGTTGCGACTTTCTTCCTCGCATGTAAGACCAATATGATTCTGTACAGAGTTAAGTCTGTCCAATAGACGACTCGCATCTTCATGATCGTCGCATATCAAAATGATATCGTCTACATATCTCTTATAGAAAGGCAATTTAGAAATTAAATCAGAAGATAAGTTTTCAACATAAGACATGTAAACGTCCGCTAATAAAGGTCCTAATGGACTCCCCATAGCAACGCCATCCACTTGTCTAAAATGTTCACCTTCAAACGTGAAATGGACGTTGTCAGTACATAATAGTAATAAATCTTTCAAATAAGTTAAAGGAAAAAGAAAAACAACTAGAAGATATATAGTCACAAAGAATATCAACAGTCTTAACCAATGGTACATTAGTAAACAAAGAATTAACATCAAATGAATACATTTTCCTATCTTTTATGTTCATATCTACAAGACAGTCAACAAGTTCAAATGTATCTTTTAAAGTAAACTTACATAATTCATTGCGTACTGGACTTAAAATATCAGCTAACCATTTTGCTAATTTATGTGTAGGAGAGTTACACATTGAAAGAATTGGACGTAATGGATTATCAACCTTATGAATTTTGGGTAATCCATAGAGGTTTGGAAAGTCAGATCCCATGGGTTTCAAGGAATTAAACTCCTGTTTATCGATAACGTCCATGCCACGAAGTTTTACTAAATGAGAAGTTACTTTTCCTTCTAATTTTCTGATATCATCCGAAGGAACATCGGCTATGAATTTGCTTTTGTCATTAAGGATAAATAACATTTTTGTTTTGTAATCGCATCTGTCCATTACAACTACACCAGATCCTTTGTCAGGTTTCAAAATAACTAAATCGGATCTGTTACGTAATTCCTTTAGGGCTTTAAAATGAGTTGATGTTAAAAAGCTTCTTTGTTTCCGACTTGAATTACGGAATTGGTGTGCTACATCTACAAATTTAACTTTCAACCAACTTTGGTCATCTGTCGAGGAAGGAGTTAGGGAGCTCAACTGATCATACAAAGTTTCAAGCTGAAAATCAATTGCTAAGTCCGAAATATTGTTTAATGGGATAGAAAAATGGAGATATATAAGTATATTTGATGACGATCAAATATATTGTCTGAAGTCTCCATTTTTCTATCCCATTAAACAATATTTCGGAATTAGCAGTTGATTCTCAGTTTGAAACTTTGTATGATCAGTTGAGTTCCCTAACTCCTTCCTCGACAGATGACCAAAGTTGGTTGAAAGTTAAATTTGTAGATGTAGCACACCAATTCCGTAATTCAAGTCGGAAACAAAGAAGCTTTTTAACATCAACTCATTTTAAAGCCCTAAAGGAATTACGTAACAGATCCGATTTAGTTATTTTGAAACCTGACAAAGGATCTGGTGTAGTTGTAATGGACAGATGCGATTACAAAACAAAAATGTTATTTATCCTTAATGACAAAAGCAAATTCATAGCCGATGTTCCTTCGGATGATATCAGAAAATTAGAAGGTAAAGTAACTTCTCATTTAGTAAAACTTCGTGGCATGGACGTTATCGATAAACAGGAGTTTAATTCCTTGAAACCCATGGGATCTGACTTTCCAAACCTCTATGGATTACCCAAAATTCATAAGGTTGATAATCCATTACGTCCAATTCTTTCAATGTGTAACTCTCCTACACATAAATTAGCAAAATGGTTAGCTGATATTTTAAGTCCAGTACGCAATGAATTATGTAAGTTTACTTTAAAAGATACATTTGAACTTGTTGACTGTCTTGTAGATATGAACATAAAAGATAGGAAAATGTATTCATTTGACGTTAATTCTTTGTTTACTAATGTACCATTGGTTAAGACTGTTGATATTCTTTGTGACTATATATCTTCTGGTTGTTTTTCTTTTCCTTCAACTTATTTGAAAGATTTATTACTATTATGTACTGACAACGTCCATTTCACGTTTGAAGGTGAACATTTTAGACAAGTGGATGGCGTTGCTATGGGGAGTCCATTAGGACCTTTATTAGCGGACGTTTACATGTCTTATGTTGAAAACTTATCCTCTGATTTAATTTCTAAATTGCCTTTCTATAAGAGATATGTAGACGATATCATTTTGATATGCGACGATCATGAAGATGCGAGTCGTCTATTGGACAGACTTAACTCTGTACAGAATCATATTGGTCTTACATGCGAGGAAGAAAGTCGCAACCAGCTCGCATTTTTAGACATACTTCTGAGTCGAAGAGACGATGGCTCAATAAGACGGTCTATTTACAGAAAGCCCACTTGAACAGGGCAATACCTTAATTTTCACAGCTTCTGTCCATTACAATATAAGAGAGGCTTGGTGAAGTGTCTATTTAAGAGGATTCAGCGTATTTGTACGGCTGATGTTATAGACAAAGAAAACGAAATATTGATGGATACTCTTGTTGAAAACGGATATCCTTTGAAATTTTTAAACAGGTGTAGAAGTCAACTAGCCTCTAAACCTACAATCCATACCGTCCCTAAGAAAAAGGTTTTCATCAAATTACCATATAATGGGGAAATAAATAGTAGGATTTTGAGACAAAGGTTGAATTCCATCATCCGTAGAACCTACTATGCAGCCCAGCTTGTAATTGTGGAAAAAGCTAAAAATATGCTTCACTGGAAACCTCAAAAGTGCACAAGTGATTATATCACATCCCACACAATTTACCAATTTTCGTGTGTGTGTGGACATACATACATAGGGAGGAGTAATCGCGCGTTGCACGTGAGGGTGGGAGAGCATATCCCAAAGTGGTTAGAAAAACAGATGAATTGTGACAAGCCAATAGATGCAGGTGTCAGACTACCAACTTCGTCTATAGCTAAACATTTAATCGAGATGATCCATAAGGTAGGTGTTAACTCAGCCTTTAAGGTCATCTATAAAAACGGTCAAGGACGTTTACTGAAATACCCTGAGACTATAGCCATTCATAAACTTAAGCCCCCCTTGTGTATTCAAAAACAGTTTGTTATTAGAACAACACATTTAAGCGAACAATATTGTTTTCAATTAGATCTCATCAGGCTTAACTCTAATATATATAAGTTTACAAATAAAATTCAAATATAAACCAATCATGGTGTTTTGTCTATAGGATAATACGATGGTGAATATAAATTGTGCAATTAGTCATAATAGTAGTAATGATAATAATAATAATAGTAATAATAGAAATGGTCTTATCAATAATAAGGATGAAAAAGTGAGGCAATCTGTGATAACACGAATAATGAAAAACAGCATGATTAAACAAACAACTGTTCAGGTGGAAGTAGTCGATAAAGGCTAGTAAAAACAAATGAACCGATTAAGTAATGTTAGATTGTAAGGGAAGGAAATGAAACACGTTTATAATGAAGATAAGATTAAGGGATGATAAGAAAGGGGTTGAAAATATAAACAAAGGGTGGTGTAGAAGTCATTAGTTGGTTATGTCTTAATAGGCCAAGGGAGGGATAATGGCTGTACGAACTTTTTTTGAATACATAGTTTAGGTTTAATAGTTCGAATGCCTATTGCCTCAGCTGTGTGCAGTAGACGAATACGAAGTCTATTGGAAAGATTCGGTGGGATACGATGAATTACTTTGAAGGCTCTCGTTTTCTCGATTACATGACCACTATCAATTAAGTGTGACAAAATTGAGCTACGAATTGTTTTTGTCTGTCCTTTGCCAAACCACGATGGGAGATGTTCACTAACACGTTGGCTAAGCTGTCTAGTAGTACGCCCAATATAACTGTCACCGCAGGTGCAGTTGAATTGATAAATGCACATAGATGTGGCAAAACTATCAAGCTTATCCTTCGTTTGCGTCCCAATCATTCGTCGGCTAGAGAATGACAAACATAGGTGTGCTGCATAAAATGTTCTTCGTATACTCCTTGAAAGTCTTTGGAATAGAATCTCACTTGATAAGTCACCATTAAATTGTAACTTAATAAATAGAGGTTTCTTACGTGCAGTCAGAGTCTCCGGTTTTTTCTCCGATGTTTTCAATGTTTCTTTATGAAACTACTCGGATAGCCCATCTCCATCAAGGAATCGTGAATATATTCAAATTCCTTTTGTAAGAGGTCATCCGTACATATCTTTCTTGCTCTGCTCGCAAGACATTTTACAACATTCCTTTTATATTTAATGGGCACGTAACTAAGGAAGTGTGTGTATTGCCCTGTGAAAGTGCTTTTTCTATACACGCTTCTCCCAAGTGACCCATCTTCTCTCCTACTTAGCAAGACATCCAGGAAATGTAGTTTATTGTCCTGCTCCTCTTCACAAGTAAAGGTAAGCGAAGGGTGGATGTTGTTGAATTTCAGCAACAATTCGTCTATGTTAACATTCCCATCAGCTAAGATAAATGTATCATCGACATATCGGTAATACATATCAAACTGCTTGATGATGTCCTTCAATTTCCCGTTTTCAGGTTTTGCGAGAAAGAAGTCAGCTAACATTGGGCCTAATGGTGAACCCATAGCTTGTCGATAGTTTGTTATTACTCTTAACCTACCTTGGTAATCCTTATTTGATTGGAGTACGAAATGTTTGTGTTAATTATTCTTAATTCTTTTTTTGTCACTTTGTTTAATTTAACTTTTCCATATATATTGACTTGACAAGTAAATGTGTGATCAGATTGTTCGAAATGTATAGCGCAAATACATCAGATAATCTCCGTCTTCTAATAAAGCTATCAAAATTTATAAAAGGGACTAACTGTTTTAAAACCCAGATCATCCAGTGTACATCTAGCCTGTCTTCCAAATGACAATTTCATTTGAACAAATGCAACTTCTCCTTCATCAACAACAGCAGCAGTTTGAAGCTTGCCAGCTCAGCTTGATTGAAAAACTTACAAAGCAGTTTTCAATTCAAAATCTCGGCAGTTCCAACTCAGAGAAAACCGAACCTATTGGGATTTCAATTGTAGAGTTCAATTTCGAGCCTTCAACAGGCGTGACGTTTGAAGCTTGGTTTCGACGTTATGAAGATCTGTTCCGGGTTGAATGCGCTCACGTAGATGATTCGGCCAAAGTGAGACTACTCCTTCGGAAACTTGGTCCAGCCGAACATAACAAATATGTCAATCATATTCTACCAAAGAACTCCAGAGAACTCAACTTTGAAGAAACCGTTCAAACGTTAACCAATATTTTCGGTGAACAGTTATCTCTCTTCAGTATCCGTTACAATTGTTTCAAGATATCCAAAGATCCAGGAGATGATATTCTCACCTATGCTGGTAAGGTGAATCGTGAATGCGAGCGATCGAAAATTCGATCACTTACGGATGACCAGTTTAAATGCCTGATCTTTGTCTGCGGTCTCAAATCTTCAGTTGACAGTGATATTCGTACCCGAATCCTTGCAGAGATTGAACGTAAACCGGACATGACTTTACAGGAGGTAACTGCTGAGTGCCAGCGAATCATCAATCTAAAGCATGACACGAAGTTGATTGAGGACGGTCAAGTTCATGAATTTACTTCTGTTCAGGCTGTCAAGTCAAACAATTCTCTGCAAGTCAAACACAAGCCTTCCACAAATTGTTGGTTTTGTGGATCGTGGCATTTTGGTAAATTTTGCCCGTATAAAAGACATAAATGCAGTATCTGTAACAAGTATGGTCACAAGGAAGGATTTTGTCTCCCAGTGAAACCTAGATCAATCCGATCTCACAGTACGATGGCACAGTCACGAAAGTTTCGATCTCCGTTGACGAAACCTCAAATCAGCAGTATGTTCGCTACCTTCAAAGTTGACTTCGAGTCAAAAAGAAAGTTTGTCACACTTTCTATCAACCAGAAGCCAGTTCGACTACAGTTAGATACTGCTTCTGATATCACAATCATATCTCCCCAGAAGTGGCGGGCACTCGGGTGTCCGCCTTATCAGAGAACGGAGCATAGTGCAAGAAACGCGTCGGGTGACGTAATGAAATTATCTGGCCAGATTGAATGCGACGTAACTTTCCGGTCGACCTCGTTCCAAGGAACATGCTACATCACCAATCGTCATGATTTGAACTTGCTTGGTACTGACTGGATCGAAAAGATGAAACTCTGGGATGTCCCACTGAACTCAGTTTGTTCCAATGTACAGTGCTCAGATAGTCCTACCAACATGTTAATGCATCCGATCTCGACCGCAAAGTTCATCAGTCATCTTCGCACCAAACACGCTGCCGTTTTTCAAGAGTCTTTACTGTACCGTACAAAAAGCCAGACTATACCTCAAACCTGATGCCAAACCAGTTTTTAGACCGAAACGCCCAGTACCGTATGCCGCATTATCGTCCCTTGATGCAGAGCTAGATCGTTTAGAAAAGTTGAACGTAATCAAGCCAGTCGATTACTCATCCTGGGCAGCCCCCATAGTGGATGTCAAGAAAGCAAACGGTACCATCAGACTTTGTGCTGATTTCTCAACAGGACTCAATAATGCCCTTGAAGATCAACCGTATCCACTACCAGTACCGCAAGATCTATTTGTCAAACTGAATGGCGGTAAATACTTCAGTAAACTTGATCTAGCTGAGGCATACCTACAGATCGAGGTCGAAGATGATTCTAAAGAGCTTCTGACAATCAACACTCACAAAGGACTGTATCAGTTCCAGCGACTTCCATATGGTGTTAAACCTGCTCCTGCTATATTCCAACAAACAATGGATGCAATATTAGCTGGTGTATCGGGAGTGGCCGTTTACCTCGATGATATCATAGTCACAGGAGAAACTCAATTCGAACTCTTCAATCGGTTGGATAAAGTCCTGACAATACTCAGTGATTCCGGTTTCCATTTACGTCCGGATAAGTGCAATTTTTTCATGACTTCAGTGAAGTACCTGGGATTCATTTTTGACAAAGATGGTCGCAAACCCGACCCCTCCAGTGTGTCAGCAATTCAACAGATGCCTGCCCCTAATAATCTCAGTACGTTGCAGTCCTTCCTGGGGATGGTCAGTTACTATAGTGCGTTCCTGCCAGATTTACATCGTCTCAGGGCCCCAATGAATCAGTTGTTCATGAAGAATGCTAAATGGAACTGGTCAGAAGAATGCCAACAAGCTTTCATCAAGGTCAAGAAATTACTCCAGTCTGACCTGCTGTTAACACATTACAATCCAGAGCTGGATATAACATTAGCTGCAGATGCGTCCAACTATGGTATTGGCGCTGTCATTTCACATGTGTTTCCAGACGGTGTTGAAAAGCCAATAGCATATGCATCGCGAACCTTGACAAAGGTAGAGCAGAAATACATTGTGGCGGCCTGAAAACATATCAAATTATATGTTCACCGAAAAATAAGGATTCCCATGATTATCATGGTTGTTAGATGAGATTGAAAAGAACTCAACGTTGGACCCGCGCAAGGAGCAAATCGGTTGCTCTCTCTCCGGCGGCTCGCTCAGCACATCTGCCGACCAATTCTGTCTCGCACTGATTGACACATCCACATCCAGAGTTTTGCTGCTATCTGCTTTTCTCTACGCGGGTGACCTCCGACGTTTGACAGCTCTAAGGTGTAGTTGAGGATTTGTATAATCAACAAAAGGACAATTTCATTCCTATAATTTCGTACGTCTAGAATTTGAGTATTTTGTAACTATTATAGTTTTTCTTCTAATAACTTCAGTTCTTTTTGTGTATAATAACTTAAGTGAACTGAGTATCTTATATATACGTATTTGTTAGTACCTGTTCTGTCCTTTTAATTGTGTGTATAGACATACTTAGTTGCTAGGTCTACTACACTTAATTGGTGAGGCCGTTTTGAACACGGATTATTCTCACGTATCTATATACTTATTTTTGCTATTTTGTACTTTCATTGCAAATTTTTGTTGGTGGTCTCATATTTGTATCCCCCTTTGTACCAATATTCTCACACCTATAATGTCGTCACCTACTCAGCCCGGTACATCAACTGAACAGAGAACGGGCAGCGAGGCACAGGCCACAATAAACGCCATAACTGATTTTCGTTTACCCCAATACGGCTTTGCAGAGCCACGGATTTGGTTTGGAGTTATCGAGCCGTTGTTGGAAGCACGGCGCATTAAATCTCAGGTAGCCAAATATGGCGTCGTGCTGACAGAACTTTCTCCGTCAGTGTTAACAGAAATCAGTGATTTCATCGAAAATCCCCCGACGGAAAACCAATATGAAAAACTTAAAGCCCTTCTTATACAACGCACCAGTTTGTCAGACGAGAAAAGAATCCAACAATTACTCACGGGCTGCGAGCTAGGAACGCGTAAACCATCCCAGCTCCTTAGACATATGCGCCAGTTAATTGGAAACCATAAAGTTGACGAGGTCGTGCTGAGACAAATGTGGTTTACCCAGAAACGTTCAACAAATTTTAATCATCTCAGGAAAGTCGTATGACTCAGACCCACTAAGCGACATGGCAGATAGTATTGTGGATGTTTTATCAGATAACACCATAGGTCATATTGCATCTGACAGTGCAACACCATTTCAGTCCACACCCACGACAGACACACCAATACTCGCCGCCATTGCAGACTTAGCGGCAAGGATTGACAAGTTGGAAACAAATAGATCTGATCGACGAGTCCAGAGGCGGAGTTCACAAGCAAGGTCACAATTACATAGACGATCTCTCTCCCGACAGCGTTCCCGCATGTCTTCTAGGGACAGTAATATATGTTGGTATCATAGGAAGTTCGGACGTCATGCCCTGAAATGTGTCAAACCGTGCATCTTTAGTGAAGATAATCAGGCTCAGGGAAACGTCTCAGCCAGACAGTGATGGCGACAGCTGTTACTGGCAAGCAAACAAGTCGCCTATTCTATGTGAAGGAAAAAACTTCAGGCACCCTATTCCTGGTAGACACAGGAGCAGAAGTTAGCGTGATTCCCCCTTCACTATCCAGGCGATCTACTCGGACACCAGGAAAACTGTCTCTCCGTGCAGCCAACCACACAAACATACAGACGTATGGTGA